GTTCAGCTCTTTAGTATCTTGAATTCTTCCTTGTGCTTTGGCTTCTCTACGCTCCAGTGCAATCTTCAGAGTTTCTTCTGACATCCAGTTTGGTCTTTTCTTCCTCTTCTGTCTTTGTAATGACCGTTTACACTCTTCCTGAATGATATCTTTGACATCCTATATATATATTCATTCACTGTTGCACAGTCACCCCAAGTCCTTTTTACAATGTACCTCTTATTCTGGGCTGTTGTCCTACATAAAAAGCCTAATTATATAGTTCTTTCCTTCATCTGTTCGAGTGTCACGCTTATTATCTATCTACTCTTATCCTATTCTCTTTCCAATCTCCATGTCAGACCTGCTTTAGAACAGTGGTGCCATGCAGTATTAAAAGACTTTTATAAATTAATAAAAGAAACATGTTTGTTAAGGTTAGATAGATTTGGATATTGGGGTATTGAAAATGTTCTAGAAATTAGATAGTGGTGATAAATTATACATCATGACTATACTAAAATACACTAAATTGTATACTTTAATGGAGTATGTTTTTATATCTTGTAAATTATATTTAATAAGATAGAAAAGGAGAGAGAAACTTTGTTTAATCAAGAGACAGAACTTTCTGGTAAACTCGGCAATGAATGCCAAGCACTGACTGGGTGCCATGGGGGTAAGAAATCAAAGCTGTTGCCAGTCCCTTCAGAGAATGGAAGAGTGAACTAAAGAAGCACCCACAAGCCCTGGAGAAACGCAGGATGCAGTATTTCATGGAGTCTAGACTCTGGGCTTCCGACATGAGTGGTAGCAGGACTCTGGGGATACATTGGCTTGAAGAATCAGGGAGAGTTGCCAGGAAAGGCTTGGGAGAATCTGTCCTGCAGATCTAGCCTTTCAAAGTAGGCCTTGTTGCAGGGGCCTGAAATGACAGTGCATTCTAAAGTGATGCCTTCCAGTTATGTTCCATTGCCATCTCCTATAAGAAACTGTCCACATCATCTCCCAGGACACATTTCTATAAGAAACACACTTCCTAAGACATTTAACCTTACAGCTTGTTACACATCTGATCCTTTTTTCCTTTCTCCTTTCCTCCTACCGTCCATCTTTCCTCTGCTGTTTTAAATGTTGGATTATAACTCTTTTTTTATTATTAAATTTTATTAGTTTTTATGAACATTTACAGAGATTTTCGGTTTTCAATTCATTCATTGTTGCACTGTTGGATTATAACTCTTGAATGGATTGATAATACTGCTCTAAGGGACCCAGGAACCCCGTGGGGAGGTAGAGCTGAGTTTGCATTGTGGAGGGGATAGAGTTAGAAGAAAGAGTTTTCTGGAAAATGGTGGGAGATGACATGGTGGGTGTCTGTGAAGGCTTCTGTGATTCTGAAGGGTGAAAATATTACTTTGGAATATGGGTCAAAATTTCAAAAAACTATCTATCAGCCAGGAAATTAAAAGGCGCATTGCCATGGGAAAGTCTGCTGTTAGGGACCTCTCCAAAGTGCTGAAGAGCAGTGGTGTCTCTCTGGAGACTAA